CGTATCTTGCAAAGTCAACACATTTTGGAGGTCTTGAGAGACATCACCATATAGCTCCTAGTTAAGAATATATATGGAAGTAAGAGTGAAGCCTTTTTCATTCTTGTCAATGGCTTTTAAGTCTTTAGTCTTATTTTAAGACTTTCTAGTCGTCTTATTTTTTACAATAGGTATTCTAGTTCAATAATATATCATCTTTGAGTAACTTTTTAGTTCTTTTTAGTGCCATAAGAGTATATTGAGGATTTCTTTCTTCGAGATTCATGTCCTTGATACATTATGATTGTCACAATCTTCAAGATAATGTAATAGAGATGAAGACCTTTAAGAATTATATATTCTTTTTTAAATAGATGATAAGATACAATACATTTGGTATTACAACTTTAAAAGAGATTCAATCTTTGGTGATTTTATTAGAGGTAAAAATAACTCCTATTAGTATTACAAATTTTTTGTTTGAAAGAAGTTATGAAGGCTTCAACAATAATTAAATATTAAGGTTGTCTTCTTGCCTTAAAATGGGATACTAGTGATGATTGAAAGGACCTATCAACTAACTATAAAGAAAGCAAAGATTAAAATTTGTAGCAAATATAATTCTTTGGATCTTGAATTTCATCAATATATGATCATTGCTTCTTATAGAACTTGTCCCTAAAAAGAAGATAATGTCACATATACAAATAGTTATTTTAATAATTATTTAAATAATTTTAATAATTTTTTTAAAAAATATTTACTTATCTTTATTGAATTTTTATCCTTAACAATAGCCATATTACAACATAATAATATATAGATACATCTTGTATCAAAGAAGAATTTATAAAAAGTAAAAATTATTATTCTTAGTATATGATAGAATCTAAAGGATTTTTATCAATTTTAATCTTTTATATTAATGATTTAATCATCTTAACTAAGAATTTATATAATATAAATTAGATAAAAGCCAAATTTTAAAAATAATATGAAATAAGTGATTTTTAAGAATTGCACTATTATTATGGTATTGAATTTGTAAAAACTTATATTAATTTTACTATCACAATGAATCAAAATAAATATATTGAAGATGTATTTAAGTAGTTCAATATTGAGGAATATAAATCAATTGTAACATCTCTTGAAAAAAACTTAAAAGTAATGAAGGTCAAAGATGAGAAGTTTATAGAAGTTAAAAGTGAAATACAAAGCATTCTGTCTAAGATAGTAATAGTCTCATTTATATAAATATTATTAGCTATAAAAATAGATCTTATATTTGATATAAATATTTTTAGTCAATATATATTTAAGAATTTATTTTTACATTGAACAATGATTAAAAAAATTGTAAGGTAGTTATAAACTTAAAGTACTTTAAATTTGTGCCATGAGATAAAAAAAATTGATTTATAAGGTTATAGTGATGCAAATTGGATTAAAAATGTAAATTATAGAAGTTTTATAATAAAATATGTATTCTTTGTTGAAGTAAGAGTTATCTTATGGAATTGCAAGAAACAACTAATCATTATAAAATCAACATTAATGGTTGAATTTATGACAATAAGTCTTTTTACAATAGAAGCAATTTGAAGTAGAAAATTTTTGGAAGACATTGAAATTAAGAAATAAGATGCAATTCGAATTATATTTGACAATCAAAGATGTCTTACATTTTCTAAGAATCTAAAATACTATTTAAGGACCAAAAACCATGACGTTTAATATTATTTCATAAGAAAGAAGTTCAAAGATGATGGAATGGATATGAAACATTATGCTATATAAGAGATATATGGTGATGTATCAAAAAATGCATTTATAAAAGATAGATCTCAAAAATTAATAAAGATGTTAGAATATTAAATAATAATAATAAATAATAATAATAATAATAATAATAATAATAATAAGTAGCAAAATAAGAATATTAAAGATTATTAAATTTGACATTACTAAAAATTCTTTAGAGATTAACCTTAGTAAGTTGTTGTAAGCCTAAATTTCACCACTCAATCAAATTGATGCAATACAACAAGTTTGGGAGGTGGAATGGAAGAACTTCCAATTCTGTAATTGCTAAATTAATTTAAATCTTGGTGTTTGGAATTCAAATAACTTTAAACCTTTTAAGCAATGGTTACTAATATTAATAAAAAGATTTAATAAAATTTACTATGATCTTTCATGGCTATTTGTATGATCTCCACTTAAATCTCAATAGTTTGTTTAAGATCATTTATATGGTTGTTAACTACTAATTTTTTATATGATTAAAAAATTAAAATTAATTAGAATAATTAATTAATTAATTAACTGAAGCTTATAAATTATTACTCTTTAAAAAATTGATGGTAAAAATAATTGATAAGATTATTATTATTAATCTATAATAAAAGTAAAAATCTTTAAAATTAAATTTAAAGTAAAAGAGAGAAGAATAAAGATTAAAAGTTAAAAATTAAAATTCAAAAGTTGAAATATAAAAGTTAAAATTATTATAAAAATAAACATAAAAGTAAGAATAAAGAGAGATAAAAGTAAAGGTATCTTAATAACGCCCAAGAATTGAAGACAGTAAATCCTTTCTACTCCAAAATTTGCCAAAAATTGTGATTAGTTCCAAATTGAATGATTTTTAGTTTATTACAAAGCTAATTTAAAGGCGCTCTTGCTCTAATAATCTTAAATTCAATCCAATATCTAAACCACGAGAAACACTCCTTCAAAGTTGAGTGATGAAGACTACTACAACTCGCAACCTCCTTCCATATGGAAATTAATCAAAAATTCAACTTGTCTTCACTTCAGTAAAAATTATGCCATTAAAAGATCAGCTTAAATATGCACTTAATTCTAAAATTTTAAAATAATCCAATTAGGAAGCACTAAGAAATTCCTTTTCAAAACTAGATGATCTAAACTACCAAGGCAGCCAACCTCCGTGCACTCAAAATTCCACCAAAATTTTGCTCTTATTCCAAATCAAGCGACCTTTATCTTGTTGGAAAGCTAACACCAATAGCTAAAACCAAAAAACATTTTACATTGAAACTCAAAAAATTGAATGACTCATTGAGGAAAATCCGATGCTCTTGAAATCCTTTAGAGTATTTGAGAAGTTGAAGGAGCTATCTACCACAATGAAGTATGTTTTAAAACCCAATGACCATCATTCACTACTCAAGATCCATGCACTCACAACCAAAAAGTTCATGATGATATTTAAAAATCAAAAATAAAATTAAGATTAGGATATACAGCTAAAATTTGGTATGGTTTTGCCCTTCATCAAAAGAGGAGAGAAAGAGGACTTGAGGAACCAAGCCACCCATATAAAATTGAGTGGTGGCTTGTAAGAGGGTGGCCACATCTCCACCCTTGATCTCTAAGATGCCTAATATAGATCTATGGCCCTCATTCATCCAAAAGCTAATTTTATTACTAAGATTGATGGCTCTTATAAGTAATCAAAGAAGCACTTTTGATAAATCTAAATTCACTATTGTGTTCAAAACACCTTTTCATGCTAAGATCAACTACTCAAATACCTCAATCCATTCTCAATTTTAATGTTTATGAAAGTTTTTATCTACAAGGATCTTGGCAATTCTTGTAAAATTCTTGAAAATGAGAATTTCATTGCTCCACTTGTAGTTTGAAAGAGAAGCTGCTGATATTATTTTCTTCATCCTACATGGTGAATTAGATGCCACTATTGCATTGAAAAGGCTTCTATTAATTAGAAGAACTACTATGCTCCTTGAATTTTTTGAATTTGGAGGAAATCTCAAAACTGTCATTGCTAAACTTTACTAAATCTTTTAAAAAATTATAATTCTAACTCACTCTAAATCATATGAAATGATTGTAGGTGAACTCATAAGTTTTTAGTCAATCCTTATAGTAGTGATTAAAAACCTCTAAATTATTAAAACTAATTAAGTTGCTATTCTAGTTTTCTAACTCTTATCACTTTGGTCCTAATTAACCTAACTCAAGGAATTAGGCTATAATTTATACCATCAAAGATTGCAATCCTAAAAATTCTATAAAACTAAATTCTACTTATATAAATTCTAATCTAATATGCTCAATTATCATAAAATAAGGAAATAACAAAAATTTAAATTTTAGAGCATAATTGAGAGGTCACAGTTGCTAATGGTCAAAAAACAATAAAGATTAAAGATAAGTTATTAAGGTGGTAGATAGGATTTTAAGTAGCAACTAGATTGACTTGAATCTTAGATTTGGTTGTATAAAAGAAAGTAGAATAAAAATGATTTTAGATGAAGTTAATGTACATCAAATATAATATCACTCTTGTAAGTAAAAGATGTTAGAAAAAAATTAACAAACATACTTTTCTTTGATGCTAAGTGGTAATACTTTCTACTTGTCTTTTCTTCAATTATTTAAGTATTTTTTTTTAATATGTTTAAAAATAAAAAATATTTTCTTTGTTAATTACAAAATAATATCTATATTTAGATAATATAATGTTTATTGGTAAAAAACTAAGAAAACATACTTCATAATTGTGTAAATATAGATGGTAGATGGATTTTTTAAAAAAATTAAATATATATATATATATATATATATATATATATAAATTAAGGTAGAAGCAAATTTTTAAAAATAAAAAATCATAATAAATGGTATTTGTTTTACATTTTATTTACAAAAATAAACATCATCCATGTTTATTACAGAATTTAAAAAACAACATAAAATTTTACATGTAAATGCGAATCGTAGCACATCATTCAGAATCCATTTCACGAATACAGTTTACAATTTGAATGGAGAACACCAACAAAGTGATCCAGGAAAACAAAGTATTGGTCAGACAAAGGGTCGTTCTGCATCCGTGGACCGTGAAGCGGGAATAGATGCTGGAACGCTGTGACGGGTCGGGTTCGGGCTGGGTGGGGCGAAAACGACGCCCGCGATGGTGGGCAAAGCCGGATGGACCCGCGATGGAAGGGAGGAGTTAGGGCGGTGTGAGCGAATAGAGGACTCTCTTCGCAGTGACTCTATTAGGGTTTGCAACCCTGCATCTAGCCACATCGCGCTCCCTTGCTGCCCCTCCGACAAGCCATGGTGTCCCTCAAGCTGCAAAAGCGGCTTGCCGCTTCTGTGCTCAAGTGCGGAGAGCGCAAGGTGTGGCTGGACCCCAATGAGGTCAATGAAATTTCTATGGCCAACAGCCGACAGAACATCCGCAAGCTTGTCAAGGATGGGTTTGTGATCCGGAAGCCACAGAAGATACACTCGCGGGCTCGTGCGCGTCGCGCTCTGGAGGCCAAGAGGAAAGGCCGTCACTCTGGCTACGGAAAGCGTCGTGGCACCAGGGAGGCTAGGCTTCCTACCAAGGTGAGCTCACTCGCCGTCGCGTTTTCCATCTCTCATTGTGGTGGTATATTCGTCTTTTCGACACTGTATTAAGGCTGGTGTTTATCATCTACTCGGCAATATATGACCAAGACAACGCAGTGTCGTGTGGTGGTGCCAGGCTGCCCATACCGCCGTAATTCATATCACATATATTGGTTCCGTTTTATTCCTCTTCGCAATGTCGAGATTAAGTCATGGTTTCTAATCATATTTAATTAGTTGTTTGATTTTAGATCAATTGCCGTGTTCGTGCTCTGCTTATTCGCATTTCTACAATTTCTAAAGCTTCTGTCGTGTAATGGTGCAAGCTTTTGTTTGGCTTGGTCACAATCTGAATAATCTAATTTGTAAAAGTATTTTTCATGAAATTTTGGACTTCTTTCCTCGTGTGTTTTGATTTTTATTTAGTGTAGTTTTAATTTCTGTCTAGGTCATTCTTTCGTTTTCTTAAGGGTACAGTACCAAGTTTATTAGTCGTTGATTGTTGAGTGGGAGTAATCGACCATGCTGCTTCCGTGTCTGTGCTGGAAAGAACAATCAACGACTACTAGAGCTAGAAATCTACATGGAGACAAATGTTTCGCCTGGTGTTGATAAGTTGGAACCGTCTAAAAGTCTATCGTACTATGTAGATTCTGCATTAGTGTTGTGAGTTTAAGTTTCCAATTGGTATTGAAGATTTTGTTTTGTATTTTCTGCCTACATTGCTGCCTGATTTTCAGATATTTTCGAACATTGATTTCTTTTTGGTTTCACCTCCAATTTGCGCATTTATGTACACAGCTACATCATCTGCTTCCATTCCAATGTGTGCTTTCTTTGGTTCAGCCTTCTTTTCTATTTGATTTTTTGACGTGTTTTTGCTTTCGTTTCTGCGTCTAGGTGTTATGGCTGCGGCGCATGCGTGTGCTGAGGCGGCTTCTCCGCAAGTACCGCGATGCGAAGAAGATCGACAAGCATATGTACCATGACATGTACATGAAGGTGAAAGGTAACGTGTTTAAGAACAAGCGTGTGTTGATGGAAAGTATTCACAAGTCCAAGGCTGAGAAGGCGCGTGAGAAGACGCTTTCTGACCAGTTTGAGGCGAGGCGTGCAAAGAACAAGGCTTCGCGGGAGCGTAAGCTGTCAAGGAGAGAGGAGCGTCAGGCCCATGGACTCTCTGACGCTGCCCCTGCTCAGACTCCCGTAAACCCTGTTAGCGATGCCCCAGTTAAGAAGTCAAAGAAGTGAATTATGCCTCTTCAGCTTTTTAAATCATGGTTGGTTCTTTAAGAGGATTTGTGAACGGTTGATTCGGTGTCTCTGCCTTGGTTCATTAGTTTTGCGGTTTAATCTCTTAAAATTATGTTCTGATCATCGTTATGACGTGGCTTTAAGTGTGTTCTGATTTTCGATTACGGCTTTTCAGCCTCGGTTATGATGATCGGTCTGTGTTGACTTTATCCAGTCTGCCATTCTGAGGCATTGAAAACTCAGCAAGAATTCAACGCAAGACATATTTCTACCATTTAGTCGGTAGTTCTGACAGGAATGAATTGAGTTTTACATCTCTGAGGATAGCGAACTGTGAGCCAGGATAGAGCATCCAGTTCTCCCAGACAGCGATTGCATGCTTCATAGTCCACGTACATGCTCTTACACGCTTTTTCTCCCACCTAGTGATGAAAAGTGCAGGCAGAGCATCGGTCGTCGTGGTGGCACCTTGGATAAATCCTTCAGACTAGCTCTAGCCTCTTAAACTGGTTTCCTATTATACGCTGCTGGGGACCACATCCCCCTCCCCACCCCTTAAATCTTTAACCCTTAGACACCTGAGCTATGGTATCTACACAGAAGCATCTCAACCGTCGAAAGTTGCTCAAATCAATAGCCTGGTGAAAACCGATCCATTTAATCAATCACCGCGATCGGTTTTGGAAGGATCGACCTGACCCAGCTTAGAATCTAGTTTCTAACGTGGGTGCAAGATCGGCGATAATGAAGAATGTTTTTCTCTTGCTAAGATGCACCTTCTCATCGAACCGTAAGAATGATTCTTATGTAATCTTATAGAGTTACTGGTGAATTGAAATAGGTCTCACACAAACCCATTCCAGAATTGCTACCTGGAGACGTGTAAACGTGGCTGTTTTGGACGACGTTGACCATCTCCTCAGGTTAAGGTTGGTTTCGCAGCCCCAGCTTATGGTTACATTGCGGCTGATAACCAGTGAGTTCATGCCACCAGAACCAAGCTAAACAGCAGCCCTCTCTCATGCCAACTTGAGTGGATACTGGATACGACAAGTGATACAAAGCTTTCTTGACCTACACTTCAAAAGAAGCATACAGTGCCTCACATAATCTTAACATAAAACTCAATCTAAACTAAGTGTAAATGAGCTTATTCACATTATTTATTGTAGTTCTTATTTAAACCACTGCTTAAATATAGACTATGTATATTAGTTTTATTATTTAATTTTAAATATTTTATGATTTTCTAATATTCAATACTACAATGAAAAATGATAGAAGTTCTCCAAATATTTACATCTCATAATGATAATACATCCTTTTTTGGTTCATGATTATTATATTAACTTTTAGATGGATAGAATCATAGATGGTAAGATTTTAAGAAAAGCTAAACTATCTTTTAATTCCTTAGGCATATTATTATATTATATATATATATATATATATATATATGAAGGAATGATAAAGCGATCCAAATTTTTATCAAAGCAATCCATCTTTATAAAACCATCATTACACTTTTTATGCCCCATCCATGTTCCTTTCGTTCTTGTATCTATCTCCTATTCTCCAATCATTCCTATTCAACCATGAGGGATAGAAACGAGGCTAGGTGCCACGAACATATATATTTTTTTAATATTTATTTGTATGATTAAGTAGAAGTAGGTAAAAATAGATTTATTTAATAATATTTTCTAAAGAAGCTTCTTAGAAGTTATATAGATGGTATTTTGACTTTATATGTATAAGTAATTGATTGGTGGATTGGAAACTTGATCAATAAGTTAAATACATGTTGATAGCTTGCAGAATAAGCTAATTATGTAGCTCACATATAGAAAACTTGCCTTGCAAGTTAAGATACGTGTCTTACGAAGTCAATACGTTTTTGAGGTCCTATATGACATTGCCATGAAGCTCTTAGTTTAGAGTATATATAGAAGCAAGAGTGAAGCCTACTTCACTCTTGTCAATGCTTTTTTAGTCCTTAGTCTTATTTCAAGTCTTTCTAGTCTTCTTGCATTTGGGAATAGCCATTCTAGTTTATTACTATATCATCTTTGAGTGATTTTTTAGTCTTTTCAAGTAACACAAGACTACATTAACATTTTAGTTCTATGAGGTTTATGTCCTTAACAGTTTGATAAGAATACTAAATCATTATTCTTGTCTTTTTTTAGAAGTAAGTAGATTATCCCACTTCTATTGTTGTATTTTGAAGATTGCGGATTATCCACCTTTAACAAATTATTTAATATTTCAATACTAATTTTTTTTTTTAAACAAAGCAAATTATCTCTCTTTCTAGAAATTTTCATTTGATATTAGAGATTGCAAATTATCCTCCTTTAATTTGACTTGTAGATTTGTGAAGCTATTTAAAATAGAAGAAAAGATTATGGATATTATACTCGGTAGAACGAAGACTAGATTTGCAACTATTTCAAATCTTCACAAACTTGTCAACATTCTTAGGATAGAAATTTTGTCCATCACTATCGCCAACTAAAGAAACACTAATCCTTTGCCTATGAAAGAAGTTCAAAAACTATGGAAAAATGTTGTACAACTAAAAGAATCAAGTAGATTGACTTCACAACCAAATCTTGGAAGCTTTGCTTCTATAAGTATGATAGGCACAAGGATTAATATGCCCAATAAGTTTAATGGAATAAGAACAAAATTTTGAAGATTTTTGTAAGAAATTGAATTCTATTTAAGATTGTATCTTTTCCAATATCTTGAAGGATTTACTCAAGTTAGATTCATAGGTGTACTTCTATTTAGATGAGTTATTTCTTAGTTTAGAGAGTTAATAGAAAAAGATTCACAACTCTATTATGATTTGAATTCATTCTTAGAAGTGTATACGACTACATTTAGAAAAAATAATGAAAAAATAATAGTAGAAACTAAGCTCTTATCTTTATGACAAGGATCATGATTAGTTACCATATGTTTTGCTAAATTCCAAAACCTTACTTGCGACATGGACAAAGTCCCTATCAATCAATTTGAATTTGAATTGAAAGATAATATCAAATATTTGTTATTAATAATGTCGAAAGCAAAATCTTTAAAACAATTTATTGCTCAAGCCATTGTATGTGACAATTGATTATTTGAAAGGTATCAAGAACAAAAACTTTGCTAGAGAAGAATAAATGAAGTAATGATAATAACTCCTAAGTTTTTAAAAACTAATTTATGAAGGCTAAAATCAATGCAAATTAATATAGTACATTTTAAATTCTTCATTGAGCAAGAACAGACTTAGCATCATTAAAAAGATTTGTGCTTATATTTTAGAGAAGCAAAACATACTATTCACTATTGTCCAAAAAACCAACAAAATTACAAAATGAGCAGCACAATTAGTAAACAAGACAATGTATCAAAAAATAAAATTTTTTAGCTACAACAAGGATCTTGCTATTGGATTTATAAGCAACACCTACTAAAGGTCCTATTCTCTCTTTAGATCCATCATCTTGTTTTATAATAGATGTGTGTTTAGGATCTAAAAATCACAAAGTCTTTACATTATTAGATTCAAGAGCCTCAGCCTATTTTATAGATAAAGACTTTATCAAGAAACAAGAAATATCTTTGGTCAAGAAAATTAAATCCATATATGTAGAAGTCATAGATGGTTGTTTGTTGGCTTCCATAGATATTAGACATAAAATTATTCTTTTAGATGTAACATTTAAAAATTATAATAGTTTAATAATATTTAAACCCATTTTTGATGATAAAAAGACATCAAGATGTATTCTTAGCTAATATCAAGATTTCCAAGACATTTTTGAAAAGAAGAATGAAAATATTTTTTTAGAGCATTGATTCTATGATTGTACAATTGTCTATAAGAAAGAGCTTAACCACTATTGGGACCAATCTTCAAATTTTTTCAAAATGAATTAGTTGCACTAAAGGAATACATTGACAAAGACTTCATTAAGAACTTCATATACCATTCAAAATTTCTAGTAAGAATTTCTATCATATTTATGAAAAAAAAAAGATGGATCTCTTTGGTATTGGGGTAGAGAGAATTTTCCTTAAAAAAGCGCTAAGTTTTTGGCTGTCACTAACTGCTCAACCAAATTATAAGATAAAAAAAATACCAATTTTATATATGAAATTGTTTTTATACAGGCAATTACATCAATACATAAATCTTAAGTATCAAAGATGATAAAAAATGTGATAAAAATATTATAAAATCTTATATATCCTTATAATATCTCACAAATTAATTACTCAAATACCATAAAATTTTGATACATAGCTTTTTAACCTAATAATACATAATTTTAAAAATTTTGAGATAAAAATTCATCCAAAAACTCAAAATACGGCTCCAACCATTACTATCAACAAAACAATTCAGTTAATTCCTTTGAACTACATGTATTTTTTTCAACACTCTATAATTCCTTCATAAAAATTCCAAATAAAAAACATCTTTTACAAAAGATATAGATTTTGAAGTCATCTTTGCAGTTGCATCTATCAATCTCTAAAATCTATCATAAAACTCCTTGTATTCTCAAAAGAGCAATAATATGTCTTAAAAAATTATCTTAACTTCAAATAGCTATAACTTCATCACCTTAATTCCAAATCTTCTAAAATTTACATATAAATTGTAATTCAAATCTTAAATCTTATAATCTTTACTTTTTATTTTTAAACGCCTCTTTTAAAGTCGCCAAAATCCTTACTATGGTTACAAACAACCTATTCAATGCTTATTATAAATATATTATATGTTTTAGTTAATTTTTATATATTAAAAATAATTAAAATATGACAACAGATGCATATAGACTATCAAAGATTTAATAAAATCACCATCAAGAATAAGTGTCTTCTACCTTTGAGTTTAATACTTCTTGAATAATTCAATTAAGCAAAAATCTACACAAAAATAAATCTACAATGAGCATACAACTTGATCCATATCAAAAAAGGAGGTAAGTGGAAGACTAATTTTCAAACTAGATATGGACATTTTGAATATAATGTCATGCCTTTTGGACTCACAAATGTATCAAATTCTTTTCAACATATCATGAATGATATCTTTTGTGAGTTTTTTGATGATTTTGTTGTCTATTATTTAGTTGACATTCTAATATATTCTAAGAATATAAAAGAACATGAACTTCATATTTTCTATATATTACAAAAATTAAAAAATATAGGATTATTTGATAAAATAATA